AGATTGTAAAGAGGTTTTCTAAATTTTTTATGTGTATCAGGGACACTGATAGCATCAATTTACATCATTCTAATTTTCAATCAGACGTCTGTGGTTCTTGTTAAAGAGATTGTAAAGAGGTTTTCTATATTTTCTATGTGTATCAGAGACACTGATAGCATCAATTTACACCATTCTAATTTTCAATCAGATGTCTGTGATTCTTGTTAAAGAGATTGTAAAGAGGTTTTCTAAATTTTTTATGTGTATCAGGGACACCATTCTAATTTTCAATCAGACGTCTGTGATTCTTGTTAAAGAGATTGTAAAGAGGTTTTCTAAATTTTTTATGTGTATCAGGGACACTGATAGCATCAATTTACATCATTCTAATTTTCAATCAGACGTCTGTGGTTCTTGTTAAAGAGATTGTAAAGAGGTTTTCTATATTTTCTATGTGTATCAGAGACACTGATAGCATCAATTTACACCATTCTAATTTTCAATCAGATGTCTGTGATTCTTGTTAAAGAGATTGTAAAGAGGTTTTCTAAATTTTTTATGTGTATCAGGGACACTGATAGCATCAATTTACATCATTCTAATTTTCAATCAGACGTCTGTGATTCCTGCAATTCCACTAAAACTAAGCAATTATGTTAAAGGGATTGTAAAGAACCACAGATCAAACGAATTCTGCACCTATATTAGGCTAATGAAGACAGACAATGTCATGCAGTGTGCAATGAGGGAAATTTGCCAGGACAGTGACATTAGCCTGCCCTTCTTGATTTCCAACTGTCGGGGGATGTTTTATGTGTACAGCCTGTAGTAAACGGGGCCTCAGTTTATTATCCCATCTGAACAACTAGACATTTTTTCCATTACCTACATCACTAACAGGGGGAAACTGAGTTGAAAAATCATCTCAAACAAACAATGAAAAGAGAAGACTACTAATAATCTTACCAGTGAAGAGAAGGGAATAATGTAAACAATAAATACAACTATTATAGCTACAAGTTGACTCAACCATCGATTAGACGCGATTCTTCTAGACAAAACTTTTAAACCTTTCGGTGAACACTGAAAAATACAAAAATACAATCAAAATTTAACCCTTTTAACACTGAAAAATACAATCAGACACATTTTATTTGAAAAATCTTAAAGGGACAGGTAGGCCATATTTTCATCAATCATACCTTAGTCTCATAAACGGGAGTTTTTTTTAGCTGAGACCAACGTTTAATTCTTAATTTAATCTGTACCTACTTTGGCTAATGAATAAACAAGCCAAGTTCCAACGATCCGAACTGCCAACCGAAACATAATTGGGCTAATGAAATGAAATGGAGTTTTACATCCTACTCTCTGAACCTATTTGAGCTAATGAAGACAGGTTAATAAAGATAGTGGACCACAGCCATATACGTCCACCACGGCATGTGGTAAATATTCAAGAATTTTTGGCAAGGGCAATAACTCTGCTTCCAACGGTCGAAAATAGCTCAAATTCGAACTTGATCTTCGTTTTATGAATATGTATACACATATCGAATTTCATTTGATTCCATCAAAAAATCTAGTTTTTAGAGCGTTTACAAGCAAATGTTGACGGATGGACGGACAGGGGTCCCGACAATATAGAGACAGGTTAATAATAATAGTTAAACCTTACTGAGAATGATTCAGATAAAACAAACAGTAGTAAAAGTAGAATTATCACAGCACCAACAAGAAATAACCAAATACTCAAAATAGATCTGAAAATATAAATCAAAACAGTCATATATCATTACATTGTAGACCTACTACATTCCTTATCTCGGGCAAAGTGGGAACTTAGCTATATGAAAATATTAGAGGGGTTTTTTGCAAAATTTTCATTATTAAAATAGTCCTTCAAGATACGATTGGTCAAACTGATGACGAACTTGTCCCTTTAAGGTACATGAACGGTCTTGGTTGCTGATTTTTGTTGTCGACTAGGGTCTTGTCAAGAGTTTCAACGATTGACTGTGGGTACATGAGGAGACAAAAATCTCCAGTGGGTTGTTTTCCACTATGTTGATAATCACATGAAGATCATGTAATTGAAAGGAAAATGAATCTGATTGGATGATGATGGTCTGTCTTTCAGATGATAAAAATATCAGAGACAATTATCAAACTTGTTTAATATTATAAATCCTGTCGGTGACACGATAATCTTGTTGTGGAAGCACTGGCACATGGGAGATTTTACTCAAAACTCTAATCAGCGACAAAAATCTCCGACCATGACTGTGACTGCTCGTGTGTCCGCACCTTTAACTATATATTTAGCTTTAACTAATAAGCTATATTACTGTTAATCTATTAATGAATAACAACTAATTAATCAAAACAGGATTCAGGATGAACATTAATCAGATAAGAGGATTAAAATATTTGTAATTATCCATGTTCAATAATTAGCTATATAAATTAATATTAAAGGGATTGTAAAGAGGTTTTCTATACTTTTATGTGTATCAGAGACACTGATATCATCAATTTACATCATTCTAATTTTCAATCAGACGTCTGTGGTTCTTGTTAAAGAGATTGTAAAGAGGTTTTCTAAATTTTTTATGTGTATCAGGGACACTGATATCATCAATTTACATCATTCTAATTTTCAATCAGACGTCTGTGGTTCTTGTTAAAGAGATTGTAAAGAAGTTTTCTAAATTGTTTATGTGTATCAGAGACACTGATAGCATCAATTTACATCATTCTAATTTTCAATCAGACGTCTGTGGTTCTTGTTAAAGAGATTGTAAAGAGGTTTTCTAAATTTTTTATGTGTATCAGGGACACCATTCTAATTTTCAATCAGACGTCTGTGATTCTTGTTAAAGAGATTGTAAAGAGGTTTTCTAAATTTTTTATGTGTATCAGGGACACTGATAGCATCAATTTACATCATTCTAATTTTCAATCAGACGTCTGTGGTTCTTGTTAAAGAGATTGTAAAGAGGTTTTCTATATTTTCTATGTGTATCAGAGACACTGATAGCATCAATTTACACCATTCTAATTTTCAATCAGATGTCTGTGATTCTTGTTAAAGAGATTGTAAAGAGGTTTTCTAAATTTTTTATGTGTATCAGGGACACCATTCTAATTTTCAATCAGACGTCTGTGATTCTTGTTAAAGAGATTGTAAAGAGGTTTTCTAAATTTTTTATGTGTATCAGGGACACTGATAGCATCAATTTACATCATTCTAATTTTCAATCAGACGTCTGTGGTTCTTGTTAAAGAGATTGTAAAGAGGTTTTCTATATTTTCTATGTGTATCAGAGACACTGATAGCATCAATTTACACCATTCTAATTTTCAATCAGATGTCTGTGATTCTTGTTAAAGAGATTGTAAAGAGGTTTTCTAAATTTTTTATGTGTATCAGGGACACTGATAGCATCAATTTACATCATTCTAATTTTCAATCAGACGTCTGTGATTCCTGCAATTCCACTAA